AGCATACACTTGATTTTCATGAATGGGAGGGAGAAGCGGAATATGAATATGTAAGTTTCCAAACAACTATTCTTAGGAATAGTTTAGATGAATTCATTAGCTGCTTGCAGCAGCGGAAAATCCTATAACTTTATTATTGTGTGTTGTATTGCTAATGTTATATGAAATCAGGTGAAGCATCATGGAGTATCAATCTTCCTCATGAAATCAGGGATGTTAGGAACTCTCCGTGCTCTGTGGGATGTCTTTCCCTTATTTACAAATACTGGATGGGGTGAGAACTCAAATGTTAATTTTTTGAAGAAACACATGGGAGCAAAGTTTGAGGAACGCCCAGAACCATGGTTTTCTAGCATCAATGTTGATGACGTCCATTCAGGAGATTTCTTAGTTTTATCTAAAATTCGTGGAAGATGGGGTGGTTTTGAGACCCTGGAAAAGTGGGTAACTGGTGCATATGGTGGTCATTCTGCTGTTTGCCTAAAGGATTCAGAAGGAAAGTTATGGGTTGCAGAGTCTGGGCATGCAAATGACAAGGTTAGACATAACCAATGCTGGCCGCCAACTTTGTATTTCTTATGTTTTAGCTTGCAAAGAATTTTCTGAGCCAGATTTTTCATCTAACTCTTCTAATAATGTTCTTCTTTCAATAACATCATATCTTGATCAGTTATTTACCCATTAGAATGTATTTTAGTAGGACAGGACTGAATAACCCATTTGTTTACTTTAGTTGGAACTTGGAAAAATGCAACTGCCAAATTCTGGAAAGAGTTGCTTAAGTGCTTATGGCTCTGGAAAGAGTTACTCAGGTGTTCATGTCTGCCGTGTTAGTCTAAGCTCAATGGAAAAGCAGCATAATCTTTATGAAGTGACCTAAAAGTTAGACTTCTACTTGTCCACAAATTGCATCTTGTTCTAGTGAACTTTTAAGGAAAGTTCCTTGGCGTGCATCATCTTTTCTCTTTTATTTTATTTTATTTTATTTTATTGACAAATATGGTTTTATTCTAATTATTATATTACCTGCAAAAGGAATCCATTTATTTATTTCTTATTGTTTTATTTCTTTACGGTATGTAGGATATACCAAGGTCTACGATTTCTGAAATATAAACTAATGCAATGGGAAGAAAATTATAAAAAACAAAGCAATGCAACTATTATAATGCTGATGCAGCACGCAATATCATGCTAAATAAAATATTCAAAGATTTGCAAGAAAAGCTGTTATTTGTCACAATCAATAATCCACTTCTATTCATGAGAAAAAGAAAAATAGTTTGATGTAAAATAAGTAGTAAATTTCTCGCGATATATTTTCATGCCACAAGATATGATATAATAATGCCCTATAATATTCAAGAATCCTTACTTTGACTTTCAAATATGTAGAAGATATGAATAATTTCAACTACAACGCACAACCGAGAAGTAATAATAGAGAAGAGGTTAAAGATAGAAAAAGAGTTTACAATCAAATGGCTAGGCCAGCATAATTCTATTGTCTCTTCCTTAAGCATCACACTTGGAAACAAGTAGAATTTACAACAAAGAAGAAAACTTCAATATGCAATGGCCATTTCTTCTTGTTTACAATGTAATAATCCTATTTCTAACAAGCATAAACAAACATCCAAAAAATTTTAGTCAACTCTTTTTTTTTAGGCTTGGAAATTGATTAGATTATAATATACAATTTGCCATAAGATACTTTAGGTAGATGCATCGAAGATATGCTGTCTAATGTATTTAATGTAAGAAAGATTTTTCTTAGGATAAAATGAAATATTAAATCAAAGAAGAGAATAAAGAAAATAACATAAGTTTGTTATATTGAAGATAGGTTATGGCTAATTTATTTTTGTGGATTTGGATATAGTGCAAGGGTTAAACGAAAAGGAGCAAATCTTGTGTGGTCTTGTAGCAATATTGGATAAGAAGCTATTGGGCTGACTATCTGAAGTTAAATCTAAAGAAAGTTAACAAGTCTTTTCAGAAAGGTGATTATGTATAGCCACCATAATTTGGTATTAGTTTTTATCTTGAACGTATCTTTGCCTATACTTTTCTGTTAGGGGTTTGGCGAAATGCCACTTGATTGATTTTTTCAGAACTTTTCACCTGATGCAATTTAATATTATGAGACTGACGTTTACAATTTGTTTGAAGGGCGAAGATATCATTGCTATATTGCCATGGGAGGAGTGGTGGAGCTTCGAATTGAACAAAGATGACTCAGATCCTCACATTGCATTGCTTCCTCTGCATCCAAATCTTCGAGCCAAATTCAACAATAGTGCAGCTTGGGAGTATGCTAGAAGCCTGGATGGAAAGCCTTATGGGTACCATAATATGATCTTTAGTTGGATAGATACTACAAGTGGGAACTACCCACCACCATTGGATGCACAGTTGGTATAGTAATTACTTGTGCATCTTAGTCTCTGTTTTTGGCTTTTCGACCAATTTCGTACATACATAAGGATGAAGATGGTCTCTGAGAGATTTATAAGTTGGCAAAAAAAATGTGGCAAGAGTATATTGCTGCTCTAAGACATCACTGCATTTTGATACTGCTTTAACTATTCTATTATGTCAAACTTATTTTATTATATTCTACTGTTTTCTGCCATGTTTGCGCAACTTGATGTTGGTATCCTCTTATCACGTTGATAGTTTCATAATTTTAAATGAATGG